TCTCCCCCCCCCCCCCTTTTTTTCCCCCTTTATTCATACTTACCAATCTTTTAGATTGTTCTTTAAGTCTTGCATTCTGATCCCTTCCAGCTATATTTTGTTTTAAAAACAAATTATTTTAAGAGAATTGCTAATCTAGTTTAGTGTGAATATACAGTTAGATGTATATATATATGAATATATTTGTAGTTTTAATTGCAACTTGTCTTCACTGTGGCTGCATTCCCAATAATGAATGTAGTTTTTATCGTGCAAACCCTTGAATGTAATCTTTTAGCACACTCATCCTTACAGTATCTAAAACCTGTTTGAGAAATCCCTGGTCGAAACAGCTGATTTAATGCCCTACTCTGCTTGTAGTGCGGCTTGTCTACATTGTGACCATTGACAATTACCTTGGTTTTGAGATTATAGAGTCTTCAGGGAGTTTGACAGACCGGTTTTAATGATTCTGTTTAGAAGTTGATAGAATCAATGTGTTTCATGTAGGCAAAGGGAGACAATGATAGCAGTTTGATGGCATTCCTACAGATTTCCCCCTCACATTCATACGTTAGCTTTAAATGTGTGTTTTATGCTGTTACATCAGTACAGTTTCTTCCCTATAATTGGAAATTGAATGAGAAAAACAGAGACTTGACTGTAGAAGTTTCACACCTAGTCATGTGTGATACTGCGATTGATTCCTATGTTCATGTAGGACCTCTGGTTTTCACCGTGGTATCTGGAAGATCGTATACAGTAGAATGGCACCTATTGAGGTGGACCAGTCTGAAGGTGGAAAGTACATAGGCAGTTACAGTATGGAGTAATCATGGTTTTGTTATACTGTTTTGTGTGTATGAACTTACGCGGTAAGTGTCTTGAACATAAGATTGAGTGCGTTATATTTATATTTTGTAAAATTGAAGACTTTAGAAAATACAGTTTCACTTATTTTGCAGTTGTTCTCTTGCTTGACGCTTGGAATTATTTTTTTTTCATAAATTATATTTCAATTTTGGGCTCTGTTGGTGCTGTTTTAGAATTAAATTGATGATTTTTACTTTTCCAAAAAGATTTTTTAATAAAAATAACAGAAGAAGAATTTCAATTATAAGCAAGACCAGTGTTTGCAAAGCATCAGTCATTCCCTTCTTCTGTGCAGTGGCTCTTCATGTTCCTCTCTTATTACAGCTGAAATTCTGAACTGTGAAGCAGTGCCAGCTGGAGTGGCACAAGTGATTTCTCATAGTAACAGATGTCTGGGAGATGAAATTACTAAAGGGCCAGATGGCCCCAATCCCTTTTCCCGTTGTTTAGCCGTCGTTCATTATTAGTAAATATGCCATGCTCTATGTCAGTCAGACAGGAAAGTGCCAATCAGATCGAAATCATTTCCATCCCTGATCTCTTTAGGTGATCTCTCCAGACAGTTTCCTGCTGCCCTTCCTCAATAAGCAGCTGATCAGTCTGCCTGAGATATGTCTTTGCCTCTTCCATCACTTGCCACAGTCAGAATGTATAAAAAAGCAAGAAAACTAGAAGAAACCAAGGCTGAAATGTAAACATTCTCCTGGGTATTGTTATAGGGGCTTTCATGCGGTGCATGAAACAAGATCTGTTTATGTACTAAATTCCATTTTGCCCATCTGGCAGGCTCCTTTGGTTAAACGCAGTAACTTTTTCCACCTTGTAATTCTTCTATACCTCTAGCTGGAGAGAGTCAAGCCTGCTAAGCATATGTCAATGATGATGCTTCAGAAATGATTGTCTAGAGGAGGTTTGTAGCTTGGATTCATAATTCTGTTTGAAAAAAGGGAGGTAAAAGATGGAGTAATAGACTAAGAAGCAAACTAGGGCAAGAATTTTTTGAGGTAATGGAAATATCATATCTGAATGTAGAAATATTGAAATTATTAGATAGATCAGTGCGTTCAAGGATAAAAAGGAACAGGAAATCAGTGAGACAGCAGTGAGAACAGTGACAGGCCCTACATAGTGAAGTTCATCAAAAGTAAAAGCAAAATAATATAGCTGGGGCAATGGGAGTGAGAAGTAAATGGTATATGTCTGTAATCCGGTTAATACTTTTTCTTTTCTGTTTTCCTTATTAGTGATGCTATTGCTGAGATTAGAGCTGTCTGTATTGAAGAAATTGGTGTCTGGATGAAAATGTACAGTGATGCCTTCCTGAATGATAGTTATTTAAAATATGTTGGTTGGACACTACATGACAGAGTAAGTATTGTGTATTGCTGTACATAGCAGAGTGTACTGTACATAGCTGGTGTTATGCTACACAAGATATGTTTAGTATATCAACTTTGATTTATAAAGAGATTGTTCTTTTTTCTTTGCCTGTTATTTATCTTTCAACCTGCTTATTTCAAGGTATTCACTTAAATTAGGTTACAGTACTCCCAAACTGCATGCTTGGTTGATATGCTTTTAGTGTTTTCAGTGTCCATTGGAATATCTTAATAGAAATGTTTCCGTGGTGCTTTTCTCCTGATTACAAGAGAAATAGAAGTCTTCTCAGATCGCCCCTGAGAACCTTTGTGTCTGAAATAGAATGGAAAAGAGACTTCCAGATGTATCTTCCATTTACATTGCCCAGTAGTTAGAGGAAAGAGAACATCTCTGGATCCCCAGCAGACATCACCGGCTCCACAACCAGTGGAGTTCTCATCAATTCATTTTCCCTTGAAGAATGTCTTCAGGGTTCTCTTTAGCTTTTTCTTCAAAAAATTGTTGAAAGACCAGGTGAAAGCAAAAAGATTTATATCCAGAGGTTCTTTCCCGTCTCACCACAGTTCTTAGTAGTGATGGTCTCCAGAACATGCCTCTGCTGGGTGGCAGCAGACCTAAGTACCACTCGGTTCCTGCAGCAAGAGTAGCCCATTCCTAACGTTAATAGAACAGGAGTTTGCACTTCTTTCTCTATGGGGTTTTTGTCCACCAGGCAGCAACTGTGACTAGCTGTGCTCCCACTCTCACCAAAACCACTAGAAACACTTGTTTTACTTTAAACTCTTTTGCTAAAATTATCCAAGGAAAACAGATGAGACCTACCCATGCTGTTGAAATGCTCCCTGATTCAGACTATTCTTTTTTTCTAGGAGCACTGCTGGAAACAATTAAAAGTTTGCAAGTTCATTCTGATGACTTGCATAACTGGTAGTTAACAGCTGATTCTTTAAGAAGATTACATCTTCAGTAACTTCAGACAGCTTACTAACATTCAGGATATCACTCAGTCACTCTTTTGCTGAACTCTGAACACGATCAATTAGAAAGATGTTAGCTTTCGCTAGTGAAAGAAGTTAGCTGCCACTGGTTCTTTTGCTTTAGCTATAGCTGACAAGGATCTGCATCTTACCTTGATTTGCACCAGCAATTTATTTGTTAAGAGTACTCCGTATGCTTTAGAGACTAGATGTGTGATGTCTTTCCTCTCTAAACCTGTAGTTGTCAAGCTTTTACTTTACACTTTCCCAAACTTAAATTACGTCTCATTGTTGCAAAACTTGATTAGGAGGGAGATCCTGCTTACTGCTACAGTCAGCTATGACCACTGTTTAGTCTAGAAACACTACACTTCCTATCATTAAAGCTTGGACATGGAAACATGGCCATCACGGTGCTTTGAGGGGCAGAGCTGCTGCTCCATCTGTGAACCTCATTTTTAACATTGGTGTGCCTCACTAGTAGGCATACTTCAGGAGGTGGAGATCGTTGCTTCAAGTTATGGAAACAGTGCAGAGGTCAACTCAGGTTGGAGGATTGGGATTTTAGGTGTGGTGGAGGGCTTTATTTTGCTAGGACTTTTAATTAAAAATACATTATCTCTTGAATAATTGCAATGCATTTTTTGAAGCACATTCTGATTCTTGCAGAACATTTCCACAAAGTAGCACTTCTGATGGAAGAGCAGAATCTAGTAGCATTGCACTTTGCAGCTCTCAGTCCCCTTCTAGTATCTGTGAAGTCCAGCCATTTCTCACATAACTCCCTTTAACCACCTGTGAAATCCAGCCATTCCTCACAGCACTGTCTGTGACTGGTGTCAGCTTCTCACACTCTTATCTGTCACATCCAGCAATTTCTCATGTCACATCCAATAGTTTCTCACATTGTCTTCACTTAGCTTAACCTCAGGCCAGGGTCTAGTCATCTGCCTGCAGCCTTAACATAATATCTATACCTCAGCTTTTTTAAAATTAGTATGTTCTTTCGTATCAGACAAATTTTAAATTACAGTGTTAATGTAAAAAGAAAAAGGTTTTCCATCTGGACCAGACACAGAAGAATTCTATCAGGCTACTCTCCTGCCTCTGCTTGCTTTGTAATATTTTTCATTGCAGGTCTCAGAAGTGCCTTGGGGTTCTAAGTCTTTAAATCGCTAGATAAACTGTTTAGTATCCTGGTATACGTGATATGTGATTTTTTTCATTGATGTACTGTATGTTTAATGTCTAGAGTGAGACAGATTGTAAGTAGAATAGGGGAAGAGTCAGAGGCAGGTGAGCGATCTGTCAAAGGATGAAAAGGGAGAGAATGGAGAGAAAGAGACGTTTGGGAAGGCACAGAAAGGAGGAAGGAAGTGCAATGGGAAGAATATATTGAAAAAAGATGGTATAAGAACCAATTAAAAATACAAACCCTCCAAAAGTACAAGATCCCTGAATGGCACGGTTTTCATTGGCACTACCTGAAAAACTTGCCAGCCGGTACCCAAGTTTCTTGTCTTTGCTTTGATCAGGAGATAATTTTTGCTGTGATTGATACTTAGAATATTGAAAAAATGAAGGCCGAGGCGATAGTCATAAGGTATTTCCATTTCGTATGAACAGAAGTCACCCCAAAGTGATTAACTTCTCTGGAGGCTTGCTACTACAAAAAAGAGAGGAGGCAGCAGTGCAAGAGATTCAGGAGCAGTTTCATATTCTACTTCAGAAGACATACAAATTAAACCACAGGGAAGACATAGTTCTTGCACTTCTTTGTAGTAGCTCCAGTGTAGTCTTTCAGAGGTAGGATACAGAAGTTTAGTTCTCTAATTTGGGAAATCTGTATATTTTGTAAGTTAATCCTGTCTCTTTCCCAGATTTCAGATGAATGTCTATAGGGCTTTTTGTTTTTTATAGATTACTTTCTCACTTGAATATGCATTTCTAGTTCTACCTTTCTCTCCTTGTAAACTTCTTTTTCATTCCTGTGGATCTGAAGCATAAATTAAAAATATACAAAACTATACTATAAATGTGTAAAAAACCCCTCTTTTTAAAAGAAGTGTTAAATCAGACTGTCCAGTCTTAATTTTCACTTGCCTCATTGATGCATGGAACTGTTTTGAAACCATAATTGTGTCGCTGGATACGTAGACAACCATGGTTCTTAAAGCAGTTCCTAACACATAAGAAAATGCCTTTTCCTTCTTTGCGTGGCTCTACTTCACTTGTCTGTTTCTGTGAAAGGAATGAACCCAGGGTCCTCTGGAACAGATGGTGTTTGAATACTTCGTTGTGATAGCATCCTAACTTAAAAGGACGAAAAAATTGAACTCATTTTTATTAAGATTGTATAGAAACTGAAATTATAGTTTTTCTGAACTTCTGAATGTTTAACTTTTATATAATCTCCTTGGTACCTAATTTCCTTGGTTTTGGGAAAGCTTGAGAAAATAAAAAAAAAATGCATCTGATGATACACAGTATCTTCATAAATGATAGTGAGTGGGCATGGGCAGACAGGGCACAACTGCTTGCTCCTGCCCGGAATACTCTTGCCATAGGTACTAATGTGCTGCAGGACGTTTTCCTCTGTTTCTGTCTGGCAGTGTAACTATTTCTATCATTAGGCAGCAGATTACCTCAAAATACACCACCCTAGAGCATCAAAATGCCACCCAGTATATCATGGTCATCCTATAAACTGGGGGATTGAAGATACCCAGTAATTTAGGTCGTTTTTCTACACAAGAGAAGAAAATCAGGGTGGTCTGAAGAAATATGGTAGGGCAAAGAGGTGAGCAAATTAACATTCTATTATTAAAACCTGATAAATTTTTAAAAAGAGTAGAATACCCTTAGCCACCAAAAAAGACTTGGAAAAATCCAAAAGAGGAAACATGAGGAGTGCAAAGAGAGAAATTACTTTGCTGGCTGTCTTGGCCACCCACCTATTTTAAAAATACTTAAAACTGTGTTTCTGGGGGCTCAAAAAGTCATCATCTCCGTGTGATCTAAGCCTTCGTCTGGCATGTGAGCTGACACGTAGCAGTGCACCTTTAATTACCATTCTGCAGCTGTGGTATCCCTGAAGGTTAAGAGAACTCTGGATCTCATTGGGAGATGGCAGATTAATATTCAAAACTATCAACTGTATGGAACTTCAATAAGAATCTAAGATGGCTTGAGGCCAGGCTATATAGATCACTGTGAGACTTACACAAGAGTTACAGATTGTTGGTTCGTGTCCTGTGATTAGCATGTAAAAAATATTAAAATGGTGTGCTTCCAGCAGGATGGATTCTTTTTCACAGGTCTGCCATATTAAAGAGAATTTTGAGTAGAGCATGAATCTCCCAGACAAAAGTAGACGACCCCACACTGTGGGCATGAAAGGTGTATGTATTGCTTCTTGCTTCATTAGCAGTGGTAACAATTTTTTGCTTTAAACTCAGAATTGTCTGGAGGATTATCTCAACAAAAATAGGTAAAATATGAGAACTGTTTGTCATTAAACAGTGTTGGTAAACATTTGATGTTTTTGGTTTAGGTTCTAATTTCAAATTGTAGATAAAAGAAAGAATTAACAATTAAGTATCAGTGCAAAGCATTTCTCAGATTCATGAAAAAGAATTTTATATAACAAAAATAATAAAAATCTATAAATAATGATCTAAAAATGATTTGAGAGAAGGAGAAGTACAGGAATAATTAGACTGGAGAAAGAGGCATGCATAGAAGCGATGACTGTGTGGATGAATTCAGGATTCTGCAATAATCAAGTGTCACAATTATAAATTGGAGAAAACCACAAGTAAGTATATTTTTCTAGAAGATGAAACTCAGCAGAATGGAAGCTCTTAGCTTTAGAATGCTGATAATGTAAATATTTTGTCCATGATTTACGTAGAAAATGGCAAGGATTTCCTTTCAGATATGTTCTTTCTGTCTGTAAGGCACAGCTGTGACTACACAAATATAGCTGGAAGGCGATGCTCATTTTCTTTAACAGAATTAAAGGTATCGCCTGGTCACAAATATTTGCTGCCTTCAGTTGACTCATACTCACTAAGGTATCGCCTGGTCACAAATATTTGCTACCTTCAGTTGACTCAAACTCAATATGAACTTCAGCTCAGAATTGCCGAAAATCTGACTAAAATCTAGTCTGGGAGATATTTTTGCTTATTCCTTTCCTGCTTAAGGTAGAGTTCACTGTATATCTGCAGTGGTTCTCACAGACAGTTATGTTTTCTAAAAACACTCTAGTGTTGATTATTCCACAGCTTTCTGTAACAGTTGGAGTCCTTAACTATGTTTGCCACTAAAAAGTTCTTCCTTGCATAAGCTAAATAGTCTGTGTTGTAATTTTACTTCATTATTTCTTTTCCTACCCACTGTGCACATAAAAAGTGACAATTAAGTGACAATTACTTTTTTTCCCTCTTCCTTCAAAGCAAACTACTTTGTTGTGCTACAACGATATTTACAGAAAGTTTTCTTCGTTACCCCTTGTGTCTGTTCCATGCTGTGCCCAGGCCGTTCTTGTTTTATCTTCTGGTTTTTGAATTCCTCTTGTGCTTAACCTCCTAATTAATTAATTAGTTAAATAAGTTCATCTCTTAGTTTAGTAAATCTCTTCCTGTCCTTGTTTGGCATCACTGTTTGCAGCTTTTACCCTGGCATAAGTTTCTTAGGAATTACTCTAACTTTAGCATTCCCACCCACTTACTTCCTTGCTAGATAGGAAATTTCTGCTGTTTCTTTCCCCAAGAAGTGTTTGGGGTGTTAAAAGCTCATGTTACTTGGATGATTCTCTTAGTTACTGAGGAGACATCTCGTGTCTGGCATGTTGATGGTCTGTGCCACATTACTACTCCTCCGTTCTGGACTTCAGCATGCAGTGTATTCATGCAGTGTAACCCTCACTTCTGCCTTTCTTAGGTTCTTGTCCAGGTCATTGCTGTTTATGCTTCCCCATGGGTTCCTGTCACTAATCTCTGCTGACTCGATTTTAAAATCGTCTTAACAGGATTATCAAGCTGCCGTGCAGGGGCTCTTCCGTCTCGAAAGAGATGAGTTCTATCCTTGACTAACAGTTTAAAAACCAGACCTTTTTGTAAACAGAGAAAGTCTTTTTCCTATCATTTGTCTGCTAAGAAAGGCAGTCATTTCCAGCAATTGCCTCTGTGTCTCCTGAGCCTCTGCTCTCGGCTAGAGGGATGAGGTGCAACACAACCTTTTTCTCTTCCTTGCCTGCTCCTGCAGTCACTTGTCTTCTGCCTCAGATCTGGTGAGTGGCAGGAGGGTAGTAGCCTGGTTCAGTATGCTTTTGTTAGCATCTGGCTTCAGTCTTCGGGCAGGCTATGCAAGTACCAAATGTTCACAGGTGTGCTTCCTATCTATCTCGCTTGATTTGCTTGCTTAAGACTTATAGAGACCCTCAGTATCAGGTCCGAACTTAACTCTGGGACCATTGTTCCATGGTGTTTGGTGATCCATAAGGGCTTTGGGCTCCATGGGGAGTCCAAACCTTGTCTGCACAAGTCTCAAGTTTCATTGCTGTTGGCACTGATTTTTTTTATTTTTTTTTTCTATACCCAACCAATTCAGAGTTTTGTATTTTGCAATTACAGCACTGGCTGACCAACAAGCCAGCTGCTCACAAGCGGGTCTTCAGTGGAGTGGTAACTAAACCTGCTACCTCACTGTTGCTCTGTAGTGTTCATCACATGCCAAAACTGATACTGTTCCTCTGTGGCTAAATAAGCTAAGGCCTCTGCTAATGATTAGTGCCGACTCCAGAGATTCTGGCCTTTCTGAATGCCACACAGCAGAGGAAACACCATTTCTGGTACTGCAGCACAGGTACCATTAAAAGAAGAATGACAAACAGCATTTCTCTGTGCTTTTTTAGCAATTGATCACATCCATATAAAATTTTTCTTCAAGAAAATTCTTTTCTGTACTTTGAAATATCTTAATGATAGATCCTTTAGACATAGCTTTCATCTCATTGACTTTCTCTGCGACAGTAGTCAAAAAGATCCCTTGAAGAGAGCATAAGTGCTCAGAGACTCCTCACAGATAGAAAGAGATGATTTCTCAAGAACAATAGTTTTTCAAGAAAAAGTTCTTCTGAAAATCCTCCTTTCAACTTCTGTCCTTCTTTTATCTTTTATTTCAATTTTTGAAATAGGTGGGAAGGAGGAAAGAAACTTAGAAATAAGGATTTTTTAGCTTCTGTTTTTGTGACAGTCTCTGAATGTTCTTTCAGTTTTTAACTTGAGTGTTTTTTTAAATATCGACTTGATTATAGAACAGACAGGCTCAGAAATGAAGCCCTCTGGGTATGGAGTTCTATTTATAGAGTTCAATAATTTGTATTAGTTCTTAAGCACCTTAAGACCTTAGACTTGGTACTGTACTCACTTTCGTAAAAGTAAGTTTACACTGCAGTGAACTCTGCAGATTATATTTGGAGCAGATCTGTGTTTATAACCTTTTTGCTATCTACAGATGTTTTTCAACAAGAATCCGTAGTTTGCCTATGCAATTGAGCCGAGTTGTCCATTTGCAGCCAGCCAGATGATGTGCATGTGCACAGGGGATCCGGCCCTTCTCTTTATCGTTGATGTTCCTATAGGCAACAAACCTTGATCCATAGGCACTGTCTCGTGACACCCACATTTCCTACCTACAGCTCACCAGATCAAAGCAATCCCCATCTAAAGAGTGACTGGGAATGAGCTGCTGCCACCGGAACAGCTCGGACAGACGAACACAAGATGCTCTTCTTCCCAAGGACTCCTCAGGCTGTGGTTTAGATGTGGTGTTCTTGTGGCAGCAGCCTGCTCCCCACTGGAGGGTCTCTTAGACCTTTTGCATCCTTCAACCTGTGCCTGTCCTATGATGAGAAATGGGATGTAGAAAATTTCAGAATAATAAATCCAATGTGTATTCCTCTGTCCCTGGGAAAAGGAAAGACAATGTTCGGAGATGGCCAAGTTGCTTGAGTGGGCTACACTCAGTCATTTTGAACACTCATGCTTTGATTGTAAATGCCAGATATCAGGCAGAAGTTACCTGTCGTTTCTTTCCTAAAGATAAATAGCCCCACTGTCTTCACCAACCACCTTGAGATCGTACGTCTTTATTTTGCATTTACTTGCTACATCCTTTATCTTTTTGTGGAGTTACTTGAAAGGGAAACAGTAACAGACGTTTAAGTGATGGCACATTAATTTCTGTATATATGCAAATAGGGAGAAAATTTAACATTGTTTGTAGGCAGCTGCATGCGGTTTTTGGTTTTTAGCTGAATTGCAAATTGGCTTTGGTAACTCATTTGCATAAAACTTTAAATGTACATTAAACAAATTACAATATGATATTATTTACTATTCATGTGCATTTGATTAGGGTATTTTATCAGCTAATCTTAGTGTGTTTTATTTAGCAAGGTGAAGTGAGGTTGAAGTGTTTGAAAGCTCTTCAGAGTCTGTATACCAACAGAGAGTTATTTCCAAAACTGGAGCTGTTCACTAATAGATTCAAGGTAAGAGGAAATACAATTTTTGGAAGGAGTACAGAAAATAAGTGTCATCTATCTCATCCTGTTGTGATCTTTGAGTCATGTATATTAAATGCAAAAATAAATTCATTTTTTTGTGACAAGGCTTGTAACTGCAGTAGTAAAATTGTATTACTGAATGCTAAGATTAAGCCAAATTCATTTCAGAGTGTTCATCTTGTAAGATTTGTCAGGCTTGGCAGGATGATTATCTGTTTGTGTTATTAATAGTTTATATATTGTCATTATTCAATCTGCTTGTACTTATTTAATCTTAGATTTATTGAATTTTAAGGACGTGTACAGTGTGTTTCACACAAACATCTGAAAGTGACAGCATGTAAGAAAAGATTGTTCATAAGACAGGTTTTTAGCTGAATATGCGCTTGTGTTTGGAAGAACAGATCCTTTGATCTGCACCACAATATTTTACACAGTGAAATACCTTGCTGCAGAACAAGAGTTTACATTGTGCTTTTAGACAAACCCTGGAGCATGATTGTCCTGTTTAGGAGATAAGTACTGGAGGAATATTTCAGGGTTTTTTTTCACTAGCACAAGCACACTGACTTTTTGCTTAATATCTTGTGAGAGCGTGGCTGTTAATTCACTTTGTGGCATGACTGCTTTGTTTCACAAGTGAAGTATCTGGAGAGATGAGTGTAGAAATACTGTCACCGCCTCTGTTTGGAAGCGGTCTTCTCTGCGAAGAAAGCTTTCAGGCACTTGTCACCACATCAGTTGGCACCTTTTACTATCGCTTTTGAGTTCTGGAGAACACAGAACTGTGGTAAAGGCCACCCCCCAAGGAAAGACTAATTCAATTTATTTTCATCTAAATCATGATTATAATGCTGATGCAAAATTCTGTTTAGGAAAGATGTGGAGATGACTGATTTATTTTCATTTCAATCATGATTATAATGCTGATGAGAAGTTCTGTTTAGAAAAGAAGTGGAGATTTAAATACTCGTAAATAACTGGTGTGCATGAGACTTAAAAACTTCTCACTGTAGATTTTATACTGCTTCACTGGTTTTGTCTGTTATTGCACTTACTGTTAACTCCTCCAGTTTGATCTAGGAAAGCACAAAGTATAGAATACTTGTTATATCTTCCCTGTATGTATACAATTCATAAAAACATAATGGTTATCAGCCTTCTACCACATTCCCTTGAGATGGAGAAAAAAGATACTTAAACTGCAGTAAAGTCTAGATATTAAGGAAGGCTTTTTGTCCAAAATGATAGTTATATAATAGAACAGACTCTTTATTGATAATCTCCTTCGTTTCAGATTTTTAAGGGCAGATTAAATAAATATCTGTCAGGAATGAACTAGATATAGTTGACGTTAAAGTAGGAGATGAAACTAGATCATTTTGTGAGATCGCTTGAAGGCCTGTATTCTTCTCATTTTATGAAGTCAGTTTCTGGGACTACTGCACTAAAGGCAAAGTTTCCTCGCACAGAAGAGTACCTGACAAACAAGTTCAGACCTCAGACTACTTCTGTAATGCCTCCATGAGTCTCAGGACAACCAGAAATACTAGTTAACTCTCCAGAAAAATGAACCCTCCAACTCTGCTGCTTTTCTTGTTCCATCTGTGCAGACTTACAGATTTGTTTTTATTTGCTCATTCTGTAATTCGATTTATTTTGAAATAGGTCACTAAAACTCTCATGGTCTCTATATCTGCTTCTCTTTACCAGAAAATGTGCTGAATGCTTCTCTCTTGGCCTCCTATAATTTGTAAGAGCAAATACTGCTTTGATTCTGAACCTGTCCCATCCACCAGCAAAACTTTTCAAGACAAACGGAGGCACTTTGAGAGATAGTTACTCAGTAACGTACTTCAAAAAAACTACAGGAATATGAAACCTCTAAATACTTCCTCCTGGCTTCTTCACAGTATAGACAATTTTCTTTATTAGAAGAAGTTAGGTTAACCTGTGCATTGCTTCTTGGTTTAGAATGGCACATGGAATTTTCATTTCTGTCAAAAAGATTCAGATGAAAGGGAAGCCTGTTACGAATCCTTGTCTTTCTTCTGTTCCATTAAAGTTGTTTTTACTACAGAAATCTGTATCATTATGAAATAAATTAGAGAAAAAGTGAGTTCAAAGTCTCTGTGAGCCTAGAGAACAGATATGTTTAACAGGATGATTTATCAGTTTCAGTTTCCAGCCACATCAAGAGAACAAAAAGCTGGCATTGCACAAATGCCTGCGCTTGGATTTACAGCTGTGCTGACAGGAGTGCAGCCTTGAGCACCAGGATGGAGCAAAGTTTCAAATTAATGCTTTTTGAATCTATGATACATTACTTAAAAGTCGTGCCACCACAAACTCTACCAGCACCCCCTGAAAAATAATTGACCTAAATGCCATTCTCGGTTCCATGGCTGCTTATTTATATTTCCTCGCCAGACTTTAATCAGCCTGCAGAGTTCAGCTGGTATTCAGCTCAGTCCATCCAAACTGTCAAGAGAAATCTCTCTAGAGATCTTCTAGCTGTTGAAAGTATAAATTAATTTGATCCAGAATGACTTGTACTGGGGTGTTAATATTTCACCAGCTTCCAGATAGCTGTAACAAGGATCTGATAATGTCACTTCTCCAAAGGAAAGATGTGTATTCTTTCCAGCATTTGTTTGTGTTTCTAGGAGTAAGTGATATGCTAGAAAACAAGCTTTGTCCATCAAAAAAAGTTTTGCCCATCAAAGATGAGACTTTTGTTTTCCATCAAGAGGTCCTGTCTGATACAAACATTAACTGAAGCCATATAGAAAAGATGTGAATTAGCTCTTTTGCAGCCAGTGCCAGAGTCAAGACACCAGCAGATTTAGGTGCAGCCGTTTAATTCCTGTCCTGCGTCTCTGCCCCTTTGCGGGACAGTGCTGTCTCCACGACCAGAGAGGCAAAAGGAGATAAATTTGCTCTTCAGACAGCCTTGTTCACAGCCTAATACATAATTGCAAACTGATCTTCATAGACAGTGAAAAGCAGTATTTCAAGTTATAAATACAGGCTCGTGTCCTATTCTACTGCTGTATAGTGGTACGGGAAATTTCTGTCAAAGCAGATTGAGCAGCTGGGGTGTGTGACTTACTAAACCACAGAAGTTGGACCTTCCAGAGGCATTAGGTGTTCAGGTCTCCTTTGCAAGGATCTTGGTGCCTGGCTGGCAGCTGCCATCACACAGAGATGCTGGCACCAAGGCAGAAAATAAGAAATGACGCATCCACACTGTTTATTTTAAGCCTGATGTTTCTGGGGAAAATTGAGAGGAGAGAACAGTCTTTTTGAATAAGAAAACATTGTCACATCAGTTGGTTTCAAAGTCCAAAAGAACTCCGGATTTGGAGAGTCGCTCTTGCTCTGTAGGCAGGAAAGAAGATCCCTTCCCTTCCAGGCTTTTTTCAGAGATGTAGAAGGAGTTTTACACTTGTGTGCTTACTCCTTCGTGTGCTGTTAGTTCCCTCCCTGTGGTATCCTGGATTTTAAGATACAGTTTGAGGGAGTATATGAAATTCCACTGAAACTTTTAAGATCAGTATCTCTGGCTATTCTTTCTCTTGATGTTGTTGTTATTAGTTGTTGTTCCTTGGCTAGGACCTTAGGAAAAATTGACAGCAATTTTTTTGATCTTGTCTACACAGAATTTCCTGTTTGGAAAGTTATTTCACTGTTTGAGTCTCTTCATGGACTTTTCACACTCTCGAAAAATTTCTAGATCTAACAGTTAAATGCATCAAATTTCCTAGTAACTTAACGGTGATTGAGAGAGGTGCAGTCAGTCACAGTGACACAGAGTATCTCTACAGACCTGGTTTTGTTGAGAGATCACACTTGAGACAGCCACGATGCATTCTTTACATACTATTCCTAAATATCAATATTGAAATAAGCATCAGTTGCTTGATATTCACCTTCAGCCTCTAAATCCCTGGAATAGTAGAGAAAAGAGGTGAACACCTTTATTTTGTCCTGATTTGTTCTCAGTGACTTTCACTGTTGTTTCCTAACACTTCCCTTGTTTCTTTTCCAGTCCCTGACTTCTATTTTTTCACGTCCCAAAATGTCATATAGTACCTAGTCCTTCCTGAAGCAGGTCAAGCCAGAGAAATCAAGTTTTATTTTCAGATGGCCCAATTTCTCTTCATTAATTTGATCAGTCAAGCAAAGAACATCAAAACATATTGCATTTTTATGGATGGATAGAAATTCTCCCCACATAGGAAGGACAACATACACTAATTGCATCTATTTTTGGTTGCCAGTGAGCAAACTGACACTAAGGAGAAAGAAACCCTTAGGAGACTTCTCATAATGACAGGGTCCTTAGAAGTTATAAAATCATTAGATTTGACTGGAAAGTGGTGCGCTTGTCTTCACTGGAAAGGGTATAGGAAAAGACAAAGTCAAACCATTGAATTTCCCTTTTTCCTGTGGAAGGTCTGCAGTGTAATTCTTGATCAGCTTCAAACCTTAAGATGTAGCCAGGTATAAAGGCCACAACTTTATAGGCAATATGCAGGTGCATATATTCAGGTGTGATTTTCTTCATAGTATTTCCGAATGTGCATATACGCAGCATTCACTGCTCTAAAATTATTTGTTTTCAGGGGGATGAAGTGGAGCAATTTTTCTGCTGTCATCCAACCCAAAGAAATTCCTTTTCAGGAAAGAATTGTTAAATAAGACCAGTCCAGAACAGCGCTTCAACTCCAAAGTCTGCTTGGTTGTTTTCTGGAAAACACCCAAGGATAAGGACTGTTGTTGTTAAGCACTTGTGCTCATTCCTGGGCACTTGCCTATTGTTCCACTGTGCATATAGCACACAGCTACCTAAGATGTACATTAAATGATTGAATAATATTAAAGGGCTTTCATGTGTGTAGTTGGATGATCTTTCTCCCCAAGAGTATCTTTTTTTGTAATCTATAGAATTCTTCATCTGATAGCTGCGTGTTTCTGTTTTGTCACTGTAATAAAATTCCTTTTCAGGATCGCATTGTATCAATGACGCTTGATAAGGAATATGATGTAGCTGTGGAAGCCATTCGATTAGTCACGCTAATACTTCAGTGAGTATTTTTCAAAACCTATATATTCCCTTTGAAAGTTACCTAAGCCAGTAGTATTTAATTGACTTGATTTCTTTGCTTGTGTAATGAAGTGAATCTGTTAGTTTACACTTAGTATGAAGTTAAACTGAATACGTAGTAGTATCATTATGAAGCTAAAACAAGATATTCCGTCTCATGGAAATACAATAGGCAAAGTATAAAAATGTATTGATTAATTAAGACTATTAGTGCATTCATTGTTGTGGAAGAATGCCAAAGGGCATTTATACCTTTGGCGGAGCACAAAATGATTGTCCTCCCCAGAACAAGTGTCTGTGGGTTACATTTGCTAAAATAACTCTAGCAGTAACTAAACAAAGATCCAGTGTTAGGAGATTTGATTACCTGACACAGCTGAAAAGAGAGTCATCTGGTAAATAAACTGACAGGGAAAAGACGCTAGCTTCAACACCCTTGTTTGGGTGATGTGGAGGTGGCAGTGGTAGCTTGCAATTTTAAACACTGCGTCATGCAGGAGGAGACAGGCTTCCAGGCCCCCAGCTTTTTCTTAGAGAGATGCAGTGGCTTCCCCAGGGCAAAGGTCCAGTCCAAAAATCATCCCATGTGCTGACTGTTTGAACCACCCTGTCCACAGCAGCCTCATGAATGTGCTGCCAGAGGAGCACTGCTAAGCTTTTACCATATATTCGTGAAAACCTGTGTTAAAGAAACTGTTTTACAGACAGATGCATAGAATTTCTGCATCATGCTTTATACCCAGTGGCTCCACTTTGAAGAACGTTTTTGGACATGCAAAATTTGAATGAAAGATTAGACTAACTTTTCCTCTTAGTAAAGAAGTCTGGACTTCATTTATTTATTTATGTGTCACTCTGCTTTACAGACATTAGTCTTGTAATATTAGGAAGAAATCTGGACTTCATTTATTTATTTATGTGTCACCCTGCTTTACAGACATTAGCCTTGTAATATTAGGAAGAAAGAAAATCTTGTGTCTACTGTTATAATTTTAAAGCAAATATAACAAACATGATCACAAATGAGATGTAGAACATGTGTTCCCTACCTTATTAGCAACGTTTGGAAACACAGTAAGATTTTAGGTCAAAAATTATCCAGTGCACCATTTTTTTCCTCTCCTGTTTTCTCTTTGGTTGCATGATGAAAAACCTAGCTAAATGCATTTCGCACCAGAAGAATATGGGTTATGTTGAATAGTACAAGGCAATGTTCTGGCAGGTAGGAACTCCAAAAAGATGTCATGAGCAATCATGACAGGGAATGACCAGTTAAAAATTATTTGCCGTATGAAGCCAAATGATGTATAGAGTCCTGATACATAAATGTTACTGATGAATGCTGACTAAACAAGGAGGGAAGTAATATTTCTGTATGCAGCAGGTGATATTTTGATATCATTGATGGAACATAATTATTCCATGGCTCGTAGCATTTTCAAGGAATACTGCTGAAAAATGGGAGTTTTTCTGAGTTTCAGAAAACTCACACACAAAATCTGCCTTGAGCTCAGAAACTGCAGAAGCCCCAACTATGTAATTTACCCAAGACAAGGGTAAAAGGTGGCTTGTTCTTGTCAATAAATAATTATAGAAAATAAACTTTTCATCATCTTTCATCCAGCACAGCAGGGTATGATAAGATTCTGTTCCTTGATCTTGAAAATGAAGTCTATATCTAGTCAGCACAATTACTACTGTCAAAGTGATGGAGAATTTATTGTATCAGCATTATTGTAATTCTAAATGCAGGGTATGATTCAATCCCAAAGTGATTATGTGTTGATTTGGTTGGTGGATGCACAGTGCTAGTTCTGTCTCCCCAGTTTGTGGCGTAATCTGGTTTAGTTTTCTGCTGCCCATATCCAGAGCATTTCTGTGCCTTCTCCCATTGCCGAGGCAGTTTTATCCACCTGGCCTGGCCCTTTCAGCAGCTGGAATTGGGAATATTCCTTCCTACTTACCAGGCCAGCAGAGAGGCACCTCCTGCCCAGCAGCGCACAAGAGCACGTGGACTGTCATGTGAAAAGACTTAACTCCTGAGAATGGAGTAGGCCAGGAGGCTGAAGCAGGTTTTCCCAGTCCCAGATTTGAATACTTTAAAAATTAAAAGCTTTGAAAGCAAACAGACATTGCTGTAGAAGTAAGTAAGTTTAAGCAAGCAATTACATTTTCCTCATGTAACATTCTAGGTTTTTAGTTTAATAATGTTTGATAATGAGTGTTTGGCATCTTGCAATATGTGCATGGTAGTTAGCGTGATGGTCTAAATAATTAAGCAGGGCAAGATTTGTAAGCAGTGATGACATTTTTTTCATAATATTATATGTATTGATACAACTGGGAGAAGGAAATCAGACAAACTTTCAGTCTTACAAGCCCTTTAAATATCTCTGTATTTGGAAATTGAACCAAAGATCCTTGAAGTCAGTGTTCAACCATTTAGAATTTTGTATGAAGGAAATCAGTCTTGTAGCTGTCAAAAGTAAGTTATGGGAGGTGAGGGAATTGAAATTAAACATTTGTTTTAGTTCAGATGTTATCTTCTGACTCTTTCAGTGGAAGCGAAGAAGCTTTGTCAAATGAAGACTGTGAGAACGTTTATCACTTGGTGTATTCAGCACACCGGCCTGTTGCGGTAGCAGCTGGAGAATTCCTGCACAAAAAGTAAGTTATTGGTTGCCCTGGAATAAGACCAGATTTGTGAATGCTTCCTAGTAGAGGTAAGATCAAAAGACAAAGAAGCAATAGAGTGAAACATCCTAATTTAGCAAATCAGGTATTTAATTTAAAACAGAGACTTATTCTCTTGTTTAAATTCAAGACCTAAAGACTTGAAGAAACTGAATTTACGTTTTTCTTGCTCTAGAATTCAAATAACTTTTCCTGACTCCTCAAGAGCTAAATATACAAAGATTGCAGAAACCTCTAAAGTTGGTTTAAATCCTGCAGCTCTTGCTGAATTACTGTTGTGATAATATATGTAGGGCCTGTATATCCCTGATGGTCTACCTGATAGGCAGTCATCATTTTTACAAAGTTTTAAACCAGTTTATTTCAAAGTTGCCAACTTGAGAGGTTTTTATGTAGTAATAATTCAGAAATTTGTTTCTAAATTCACTTTGTCTAAAAATACGTTACACTGTGGTTACATCTTTCATGTACCCGCTATGCCAAAGGAAATGAGCTAACTTTTCCATGGATGTGAATCATACCGCATCAGTAACTATGACGAGGACGTTGCTGCATCATAGTAGTTAATTTTTGGGGTTTGTGTTTGCAGTTAAAAGTCTTTTAGCAGTAATTTTAATTTTTCGCCTCATGGGTTGTGACATTACAGTTCTTTAATATATTTCTAGAGTATTTATATCAGAATCCAGGTTACTTAATCTTTCATGCCAAGATACACGATAGAAAAAATTACATAAAAACATCAGTTTTCATTTGCCAGTGTTCTAATTTTCTGTGTTTTATTAGTGATTTAGAAGCCCACGTTGTAATTGTAAGCTTTCATTGGTGGATTTCTGGAATTCCATCTTTGTGATCAGGCATTATCTGTTTCAAGGAATTAATTTACAAAATTCAGTTGCATCTAGTTTTCTACATGACACTTTACAAGTTATAGGAAAGGGCTAGGTTCTTTTTAAAAATATATGCTGAAATTCCTTTGTTAATCAACATGTAACAAAATAATTTTGAAAAATGCCTCGAAGGTAAATTACGACATATCTGCACCTTAGTGCACTTAGTATAAAAACAAAACTTTATCCTAACTTTTCTTTACAATGAGATACTATGCTGTGTTTTATAAATGTTGCTCAAGGTAAACAGCATTGAGAGAAGATTGTCCTATTCCTCACTCATTTTCTCTTGGTTTCTGCTAACACATAAGAGCTGGTGCTCCAGTATCTACTTGAGGCATTTGAGGTGGCATTTCTCTCACCTAATTTTTTATACATTTAAATATCACTTTCTACATGTAAGCTAGGCATTAGACTTTCTCTCTGTAGTTAGCAAAGGAAAACTAACGACACCGAGGATCACTGACTCAACCCTGAGGTGCATGTTTTAAGATATTTCAGCACCTGCAGAGGTGCTTATTTCTTATCTATTAAGATAAGCAGGAGGGAAGAGGTGAAGTCTTTAACTAAAATACAACATTTGTGTGCAGCTCATCCTTCTCTTTTCAATGACTTATAGTAGTGAAATCAGAATACTGTGTTTCACATTTCTAATTTGCTTGGTGACTGTGGTTTCTCTGTAAAAGCAAGGAACAGTTTTCAAACTTCTAAAAGTAAAGCAATCAGTGCTGTAACTGTAATGTAGGCACATCTGAGATCTCTTTAAGCTAGCAAATTTGAGTGTTGAGAGTAGTTTGGAATTAGCCATGCATCAGGGAACTCAATGCAGAATGTATAATTTACGTGAAAAAGAACCCAAATAATTGACTGGTAGCTTGCTTTATCCCTTATGCTGCTACTGGTACCTGAGGTTGGTTGTTTAATGGGATGTCAAGTTTGTTTATACCATATCCCAGTCAGTGTGACTGCAGTGAAGATCCAGCCTTAGTTCTTAAGGCACTAGTGGAATAAGTGCCACCACCATTGTAAGACTTGATAAGTTAGAAATGCAAAACAATACAAATTATGGTAATATATAAAACTGTGCAAAATCCTTCAATATAAATGTTTTGGAAAGCTTTTTCCTGTGTTAAATTCTTCCAGCTCTGTGAACTTGAAGACTCTGAAGATAAAATTCATCTCTTCAGACAAGCAGAGGTCATGCCCTC